CCTGTCTTGTTCCTGTTCTTAAGGGAAATGCTTGTAGTTTTTGCCCATTGAGTATGATGTCGGCTGTAGGTTTTTCATATATGGCCTTTATTATGTCAAGATATGATCCCTCTATTTTCACATTGCTGAGTGTTTTTATCAGAAATGGGTGCTGGATTTAGTTGAATGCTTTTTCAGTGTTTATTGATATGATCATATGGCTTTTATCTTTCATTTTGTTTATGTGGTGTATCACATTTATTGATTTGTGAATATTGTACCAGCCTTGCATCCCTGGAATGAATTCTACTTGGTCATGGTGAATAATTTTTTTGATGTATTGCTGGATCCAATTTGCTAATATTATTTTAAGGATTTTGGCATCTATGTTCTTCAGGGATGTTGCCTATAGTTTTCTTTCTATTTTTTTCTTTTTATTGATTGTTTTTTTTTTTTTTTTTTTTTAGAGAAGAAGGGATAGCGAGAGCGAGATAGAAACATCGATGAGAGAGAACATCGACTGGCTGTCTCCTGCATGCCTCCTACTGGGGATTTGGCTGACAACCTGGGCATGTTCCCTGACCTAGAATCAAACTGGTGATCTCTTGGTGCATGGTTCGACGCTCAAACATTGAGCCACACCGGCCAGGCAAATAGTTTTCTTTCTTTGTAGTGTCTTGATCTGGTTTTGGAGTTAGTATTATGTTGGCCACATAAAGTGAGTTTGGAAGTCTTCCTTCTTCTTGGATTTTTTGGAATAGTTTGAGGAGAATGGGTGTTAGATCTTCTTTGAATGTTTGGTAAAACTCCCCTGTGAAGCTGTCTGGGCCTGGACTTTTGTGTGCTGGGTGTTTCTTGATTACATCTTCAATTTCCTTAGTTGTTATTGGTCTGTTGAAGTTTTCTATCTTTTCCCAGTTCAGTTTTGGGAGACTGTGTTTCTAGAAATTTGTCCATTTTGCCTAGATTGTCCAATTTGTTGGCGTATCATTGTTCATAGTATTTTTTAATGATCCTTTGATACTCTTAATGGTCTGAAATTTGGCTGGTGATAGCCACTTCTGACTGGTGCCCTTTGGACATGTCCTCATTTGTTGAATATCTGCTTGTTTCTGGCACTACAAGATATTCTAGACTACCCTTGTATTTGTCTTGGCTTGGGACCAGCCATATATATTTTTTAAGTCATGCATTCATACTGATACCTCCAATTCAAATCCAACATCATAGGGCTTTTTTTTTTACCTTCCTACATTCCATATTCTATCTTTATACTCTAACAGTGAGAACCCAGGTTCCCAATAACACACATTTACTCATATGCTTTCTCCTGTACTACACATGACAAAGTTTCAGAATCACCACATTATACCAATGGTAACAGAAAACCTACTAATATATTAGATATTTTTTCATGCCCGGTTGGTGTGGCTCAGTGGATTGAGCATCATTCCATGGACTGAGAAGTCCCGGTTCAATTCCTGGTCACGGCTCATGCCTGGGTTGCAGTCTAGATCCCCAATGTGGGGTGTGCAGGAGGCAGCCAATTGATGTTTCTCTCTCACATAGATGTTTCTATTTCTCTCCCTTCCTGTCTCTCTAAAAAATCAATAAAAACATATTAAAAATAAAAAGATATTTTTTTCAGTTAGCTTTGTCCTTGAGATATATCCTTCCGAGAGAACACAGAGTACTGTGACAAGTTACTTGACTAAATCTTATTTATTTATTTATTTCAAGTGAGAGCAAAGTTTATTTGAAAAATAGACAGATTCCCTGCAGTGGGGAGGGGAATTGCCCTTGGCTAAATCTTTTTTCCGTGGTTGTGTCAGCTTCATTTGTTTTTGTTTATTTCAACTTTATAGTTTACTTTTATTTCTGGTGTAAGTTTTTGAATATATAAGACATTATATACACAAAAGTATGTGCAGATCTTTACATATCAGTATTTTTAAAAAATAGTTGCAGAGCAGCTTCTAGGACTTGAACTCCAGAGTCTGTGAACCCGCCCAGAGTGTACCCAATAAAGCTTGATCTGGTTATTCAAAAATAAATAAATAAATAAACAAATAAATAAATAAATAAAATAAAAATAGTTGCAGAATTATAAAATGTTTATAAATGAATAAAGTTAAGAATTGCTCCTGTGCAACAAATAAAAAATTGTAAAGAATTAAAGATTCTTTAAAAAAATAAATAAAAATAACTGCAGAGCATTTTAAAAAATAGCTGCAGAGCAGTATATTGTATGACTGTACCATCATTAATCAGTCCTCTAATGACATGTAGATTGTTTCTAATCTTTTGGTATTATAAATAATGCTACAATTAATGCACCTATGTAAGGATATCATTTTATGTGGGTCCCTATCATGCTTGTCTTTTTTTCCTTTTGTGGTAGATGTTTTGGGATTTTATATCTATATTTGATTTTATCACAAAGAGGCCACACAATTTTAATTGGATCCAGAGAAATATGACTGGAACTCTAGGAGGGTTTGTTTTTCTTTTTTAAAAGCAAACTTTTTTGTTTGTTAATCCTCATCTGAGAACATTTTTTCCATTGATTTTTAGAGAGTGGAAGGGAGGAATGGAGGGAGAGAGAGGCAGAGAGAGAGAGAGGGAGAGGCAGAGAGAGATGTGAGAGAGATATCAATCCATTGCCTCCTGCACACACCCCAACTGGCTGGGGATTGAACCTAGAACCCAGGTACTGTAATTCAGGTACATGACCTTGATGAGGAATCAAACCTGAGACCCTTTGGTGTGCGGTGGATGCTCTAACCACTGAACCACACCAGCCAGGGCTAAAAGCAAACTTTTTTTTTTTTTTTTTTTTTTTAATCCTCACCCGAGGACATTTTTCCATTTTTTGTTCAGATAGAGCGGGAGGGAGAGAGAGGAAGAGAGAGAGAGAGAGAAACATCGACGTGAAGGGACACATCGAGTGGCTGCCACCCGCACGACCAACCAGGGCCGGGGACAAACTGCAACCGAGGTACGTGCCCATAGCGGGAACCAAACCCGGGTCTCTCTGTACCGCAGGCCGACGCTCCAACCGCTGAGCCAAACCGGCCAGGGCTAAAAGCAAACTTTTAATTGAAGCATAACAAATAGGAAAGTGCACAAATTGTAATTGTGTGCTTGATGAATTTTCACAAAGCTGCCACCTCTGTGTAACCAGCACTAACAACAAAAATTTATTATGTCTTTTTTTTACTTGATAGAAATCTCTACCCACCCTCCCTCCTTTCTTCTTTCTTTCTTTCTTTCTTTCTTTCTTTCTTTCTTTCTTTCTTTCTTTCTTTCTTTCTTTCTTTCTTTCTTTCTTTCTTTCTTTCTGATTTTAGAGAGAGAGAAGAGGAGAGGGAGGGAGAGATAGAAACATCAGTAGAGAGAATGTTGATTGGCCACTTCCTGCATGCCCCACACTAGGGATTTGGCCCACAACCCGGGCATGTGCCCTGACCAGGAATTGAACTGGCAACCTCTTGGTGCATGGGTTGATGCTCAGCCACTGAGCCATACCAGCCAGGCTCTACCCAACTTTTAATTGTTTTTTTTTTTTAATCCTCACCTGAGGACATTTTTTCATTTTTTGTTCAGATAGAGTGGGAAGGAGAAAGAGAGAGAGAGAGAGAGAAACATCGACGTGAAAGAAACACATTGAGTGGCTGCCTCCCACACAACCCAACCAGGGCCTGGGACAAACTGCAACCGAGGTACGTGCCCTTAGCGGGAACTGAACCTGGGTCTCTCTGGACCACAGGCCAATGCTCTAACTGCTGAGTCAAACCGGCCAGGGCTCTACCCAACTTTTAAATGTTGCATTGCTTTAGTGCTTGGCCATAGACCATTTTCTGATTTTGATTGTGTAATACCTCCACCAGTTACTGTTCTAGTGAACTGATTGCTCATTCACTTCCTTGGCCTTGACTCAATGTTGTCTCAGTGCAGGCCCCTCTGCTGAAACTCCCAATGGGAATATCCCCAGTGCCTACAATGTAGCCTATCTAGGGGTCTCACAACACTTGGGAGTTGGCAAGTCAGTAGCAGCTACTTGTCTTCTCCAGGGCCCTGTGTCTTTTCTCACGGAGTGCCTCCTGTAATGGGGCTCTCTCTTAGCAGGTCCCTTCCCCCAGTGTTTAAGCTGGCAGGAAGTCTTTTTGATGGCCTCCCTCCCCCAGCTCCCTAAATCCACTTCAGGGCCTCTTCAGACTTGCTCCCAGGGGCCTCAAGTATCACTCCCTGCCTACCTCCCCTCTCTAGCTTCACATTCGGCTGTTACCTCGTTTGCACTGTTTTGGCCACAGTGGATTTCTTTCCTTTATTTATTTATTTATTTTATTTTTTATTTTTTATTTTTTTTATCCTCACCCGAGGACATTTTTTTTTTTGTAGTGGGAACCGAACCCGGAACTCTCTGGTCCACAGGCTGACGCTCCAACCGCCAAACCGGCCAGGGCGACCACATCTTTCTTATTCATGCTGTCTCCCCAGTGCATGGAAGATTATATGACCCTGAACACTGCAGAGCCTTGGCCTCAGTCATAGGCTGGGCTCCCCTTCCTCCTGCCTTTGCTCCCCTTCCTCCTGCCTTTGCCTTCCATCATTTGGCAAAGGCAGGAGGAAGGGGAGCCCAGCCTATGACTGAGGCTAGGGCTCTGCAGTGTTCAGGGTCAAAGAATAGAATTTCCTCTTTTAGAGGTCTCTGGTACTCTCAGGCCCTCCCTATCAGTTGTGTTCCCCTGCATGGGGTCCTGTTCTAGGTTTCTTTCCTATTCTTGGGTGGAGTTTTCTGTGGTTAGACTTTGTGCCTTGAGGCAAAGGGCAAATGCCTGGAAGGAGGTAGCTGGTAGAGTGGTGGCTCTGTGAGGTAGGAGATGCCTCCACTGGGTTCATCCCACTGTGGGAATGTGAACAGAGTCCTACCCCAGGGAGCATACAACCTGGCTGGGGCTGAGAGAGGGACCTGGTTTGGATGGGCCATGGTCCTCATCTTTCTCTGGCTTTTCTTCCAGTTCAGGACAAAGAGGCTGGGCCGGCTGGTGCCATCATGGCAGGTAAGGAGAGGGCGGGCCATGTGGGTAAGACATGCAAATAAGTATAGGATGGCTGGACATCTTCCTAGCTCCCTTGTCCCCCCTAGTATTTAGAGGTCAGGTTCTTTGTCTACTCTTGTCCCAGGTTTACCCTGGTCCCCTACTTAGGCCTGTCTATCTGAGACCCTGTACATGACACTATTTAGTCCTCTATCAGACCTCTGACCTTGGGGATCAGGGATTGAGCATCCTGATGCCTTGATCCTAGTGGCCATTGGATGTGGATGGCACAGTCCCTGTCCCCTCTGTCACCATTGGTCTCTAATACTCTGAAACCTTTCATTCTGGTTTCTGAGTTGTCTGGTTGCTGAAGACTTGGGTACAGAATGCCAGAGCTGCAGGGACTTTTAAGGATTCTCTAGCTCAACCCTTATCCCACTGGATAAACTGAGGTCTGGAGAGGGGTGGTGAATTGCTCAAGAGAAGAATATTGGAGTTGAGGCTGGAACCCTCATTTCCAGATTAACCCTTCCTGCTTCCTCTGCCTAGAACTGACTCCCTGCTGAGGAGGATGCTACACCCCGATGGACAGCATTTACTGTTTTTCTTCTGACAGGCCGTGATACTGCCTTAGGGGCTTTGGTTACTTTGGGAACCTCACACAGCCTGGATGAAGCAGGGATGGTTGGGTAGGGATAGCAAAGTGGCCTGTGCCACAACGACCATCAGGACAGCCTAGGCCAGGGAAAAAATGGTGATACTGGATTGTTGGGGAGGGGAACATTCAAGTTGATGCCATGCGATATGCCTTACCCACAGAAAGAGTGAACAACTTCCCACCACTGCCCAAATTCATCCCGCTGAAGCCATGTTTCTACCAAGACTTTGAGGCAGACATCCCTCCCCAGCACCTCAGCATGACCAAGCGCCTCTACTACCTCTGGATGTGTGAGTGCTATGGATGGGGGGCTGGGTGGGGGTGTGGGACATTGGGTTGGGGTACACACAGTTTGCTATTCTTCAACCCCACTTTTAGCATCTGCATGGGCCAGAAAGTCTTTCTCCATCTGATTCCCAAAAGGCTCCTCTCATGGGCCCACTCCCCAGCTGGGCCTCAGTTTTCCTCAACCCCCCCATCTAGACCTCTCCTCCCACCAACTCCCATCTCCCATTCACAGACCATTTGGATAAGGGTCTCTATATCTTGGTCTCCCTTTCCTTTCCGACTGTAGTAGTTTTCCAGTGAACCTCAGGATTCTGAATTTGGAGAGGGTCCTTCCCTTAAAGCCTACCCTTCCCTTAAAGCCTACTTTTTCTTGCTTTCTCTGGAACATTGCTCAAAGAAAAGAGCATTCAACTGGGAGTTGGGAGATATGAGATCAAATCAGGCTGGTTGCTCCACTTCCCAAGCAGCAGGTTCCTCATTTGTAGAAAGAAGGTATTGTCTCAGTGATCTCTGTGGTTCCACAAAGAGCTTGGTATTGTGTGGTCAGTACTTATAAGAGTTTAGAGTTCTAATGTTCTAAGATTTTGAGTTCAAGTTTCTGATGGTCTATGGCAAGTTGGTGGGAAAAGTATCATCTTAGGGGGATGGGACTTGGCTGTGCCCAGGCTGGTCATTGGTTCCTCTTAGGAATGTGCACAGAGAGGAGTCTGACTGTTCTGTGCTGGGTACCAGTCCCAGGGAACACCAGACACCACAGGTGACCTTAGCTAGGGTTTGCCACATGTCATGTTGTCTTGAGTCAGGCCTGCATTTAGCCACTTACCTGGGGAGATGATTAATTGTGCCAGGAAGGTGGGAAAGAATGCTGTCTTTGCAACAGGTTCTTCATGGAATGGTAGAAAGAGTATAGGGACAGACAAATTCAGTTTCAAGTCCTGGCTTGGCCTTTGGGTGGCCATGGGGCCATTTTTCCTCATGTAACATGAGAGAAAGAAGGGATGGGGCAGGTGTGGGTAGGTCTGTAGATGTTGGGGAGAGAATGAGTAGGTTTTCTCTCTTGGATTTAATTTTTTTCCCCATCAAAATATGATATAGAAGTAGGGATGGGAGCTTTGAGGAGACTGGGATTAGAATGAGAGCACATTTGACAGATGGTGGTGACACTATCCAAAGAAATGTGACCCCTAAGATTTCTGGGCCATGCATGAGTTCATTTGAGACTGGCTGCCATGAATTTGTAGTCCTACCAGGCCTCTGGGCTGGGGGCTCCTTTTTTCCTAGTAACATTCAGCTCAGGTCCAGATGGGAGTTGTGTTCATCCAGGGTGAGTGTGATCAGAAGACAGGGCAGGAGAGGGAATAAGAAAATGAGTGTAATGAAGTATGGAATCTAAGCTAGACAAAGAGAGAAGTGGAGACTGAAAAAAGTTGATGACTAGAGAGAAAGTGGCCAAGTCAATGGATGTGAATTCCAAAAAAGGCAGTAGAATAATTGCAGGAAAGGCAACTAGATCAACTGAACTAGAGAGAGGTGGGGCTGGGAAGAGAGGTGTAAACCAACATAAAAACAGGATAATGTCTGGTTTATGTAAAGAGCAAATAAAATCACTAAGAACACCAAGTTCCAAGAAATTTGAGGGCACTAAACAGGAATGGAGGAAATGCAGCTGAAATGCACAGGAAGAAATGTTCATTCTTATTATGAGGGGCCCGAGATAGGTGTACCTGATAGGTCACAGTATTGTGAGGGCAGACTTGGGGAGCATTCCACCACCTGACCCTGGGCTCTGGGAACTCTGCCCCTGAGAAGATCTCATTCAGGAGCTGGATTTAAAGGCTCTAAATATTTTCCTAAGTCTTCTCTAGGTGCTTGCCAGAAACTTTGCTCCCAAAGAAATGTATACTTGAGATACTTAAGGGCTCTATTCAGATGCCAGTTCCATAGATGCCTGGATGTTTGAGGCTAAGATTGAGCCCCCTTTCTTTCGTTTATTCAGCAGGTCTTTGTGGAGCCTTACAGGGACTCATCCTAATATTCTAGGAAGGGATCACCTTGTGTCAGAAGACTTGGGTGTGTATTAGTGTCAGCATCAGATAAGGAAGGAGTCTTTGAAGTTCCAATTGGCTGTGACTCACTGACACTGTGATTATGAGGTTCAGCTAGATTATGTGGGTATGGAGAAGGGGTAGCCTAGGTCTTGTTCTTGGGAGGTTTCTAGTCTGTTTGATGGGCTGGCATTTGTGCTTGAGGAACCAAGAGAGTAGCCCAGGTCTGCAGAAGGTCTGAAGGATGGGAGATGAGTAAGGCTGCAGGAAGGTTTCCTGGAGGAGGTGGCATGATAGTTGTCTAAAAAATGGATTTAAAGACTGAGATCCAGCTACTACTGCCTGTCCCATTTAAGTGCAGGGCAGATTGTACAGTAACTTGAAGAGATGTTTTCATAGGCCTTTTACTTTCCCCTTTTTGTGCCCCTACCTTGCAAGAGAAGTCATAAGGTGGGTTTCCCGTGCCTTGGCCTTGCTGATTGCTGTAGGTCTGCCAGGGCCAGGGGCTGAGGCTATTCTTATAAGGAGAAGAGCATTTCTATTACTATGGGGCTTTGGAGCCCTTCAACAGGACTTTCTGGGCTGAAGCTCTGGATTCCTGCTCTGGAGGCTCTTAGTTCTCTGGGTTTCTAAGATCCCCAGGAGCAGGTGTGGGGAGGGGTTTGGTCTGAGCTCCAAGCTTTCTTCTTACAGTCTCTACTCTGTGTGTGTGTGTGTGTGTGTGTGTGTTTGTGTGTGTTCACTGATGTGGGTTATGGATATGAATGTGTATAAATGTGGTTTGCATGTATGTTTGTGTGTGTCTACATCTCTCTGCTTGCTCTGTTTGCATGTGTTTGATTGCAATGTGTTGAGTTATGGGTGTGTGTGTTCATGTCTGGGTGCTCATATATCTCTGCATGGGCCTGGTGTTTGTGTTCATGTCTCTGTGTGCATGTGCTCCTGGGTCTGCAGTGAACAGCGTCACGCTGGCCGTGAACCTGGTGGGCTGTCTCGCGTGGCTGATCGGAGGTGGGGGAGCTACCAACTTTGGCCTCGCCTTTCTCTGGCTCATCCTCTTCACACCCTGTTCCTACGTCTGCTGGTTTCGGCCCATTTACAAGGCCTTCAAGTAAGTGGTTGGTGCTGACCCCAGCTCATAACCCTGCCTCTTTGCTCACCTCCCTCATCTCTTCTCTACATATTTTCTCACCCACCCCCTTATTTTTGGCCATCTCCCAAACTTACTTTCCCTTGTTCACCCTCAGCTCAGGCTGTCAGGTAGGATTTGGGGTTCCTGGGAGCTCTAGGTTGGGGTGAGAGGGCCTAAAAGGGGAGTCAGAGCCTTCCTTTTAGTTCCTTCCTTCATCACTCTGCCCTTAGGTGTGGGCAACATAGAGTAGAGACCAGGCCGATTTTATTTTTGTCTTCCCCAGGGACCTGCATGTTAAATTTTGCCAAAGGGGCCACCTGTCTTGATGGGCCATCCTGTACCCATAGGGCTAACTGATTTGGTGCCAAGTGGAACATCTATCTATATACCAGTGAAACCAGCTGTCCATATACCATCGACATATTTATATGCTAATGAGGTCATTCAACTATACCAAAGGGACCACCCATCCATTTATCAGTGGGGCTAGCTGTCTTGGTGCCAATGGGTGTCTATTTTGTGTCAAATGGGATTTTCAATCTTTGTGCCAATTGGACTGTTCATCCATGTACAAACAAAGCTATCTGTCTTGGTGCCAATGGAGTATCCATGGTGCCTCAAATGTCTTTGCCAAGAGAACCATCCAACTACGTGCCAATTAAATTACTTTCTTGGTGCCAATAGGGTGTCCATTCTAGTACCAATGGGACTTTCTGTCTCTAAGCTTATGGGATCATCCATTCATGTACCAGCGGAGCTAGCTGTCTTGATGCCAATGGAATTGTTCATTCCCTTGACAGTGGGGTTGTTTATTTCTGCCACAATGGGCCCGTCTATTTTGTGCCAGTCAGGCCAACCACCCATGTACCAGTGGGTGGTCCATTCATGAAGAGATGTCTCCCCATGTAATGCTGCACACAGACCTAACACATGGAGTCCTGCAAAGATCCATGGTTAAACACTGTCCCATTTTGGCCTCTCGTTAAGGCCTTTGACTGTTTTCTGTCCATTGCGTACTCACTTAAACTTGTAAGGGCTTATTGGCTTTGAAGGCAGGGAATCCCTAGCCCTCTTGCTCAGGTGATGGGAGCTATCTCCTCTGTTGCAGGACTGACAGCTCCTTCAGCTTCATGGCATTCTTCTTCACTTTCATGGCCCAGCTGATCATCAGCATCATCCAGGCTGTGGGCATTCCAGGCTGGGGCGTCTGGTAAGAAACTGAGGTATCTGGGACTGACCCAGGGCTGGCAAAGGTGGCACCTTGGTTATGTCTTTTGCTTACCTCCATGTGCTTAGCTACTTTACCTGTGAGGACACTATGAATTATAGAAAGTATGAAAGGATTCAGACTAGTGTAGTAGATACAGCCATAGCATCAGAGGAGGAGAACCTTGCAGTAGTTTCTGGGGGCTGAGGAGTGTCAAAAAATCATGGGAGAACCCAAGGAAAGGAAGCATTATGTCTGAGGAGCTTATCTTTTGAACCACGGGAAGGGTTCTTTTTGAACCACTGACCTAGGCCCTTGGGGTATCAGTAAGATGGTCCCGTTGCATCCAACGATATGGTCCCTCCATGAGACAATGAGATGGTTCCTTGCTCTAGTGACTAGTGGGGTGGCTCCTGGGCAGCCCTATAGCTGGTCTCTTCCTGCAGCGGCTGGATTGCCACCATCTCCTTCTTTGGAACAAATGTTGGCTCGGCGGTGGTGATGCTCATTCCCACCATCATGTTCACAGTTGTTGCTGTCTTTTCCGTCATCGCCCTCAGCATGGTATGTGGTTACCTCAAGGGTAAGAGGGTGGCTTTGGAAAGGGGCTGTGATCTGTAACAACCCCTTTTACAATGATGGAGGACTCAGAGGTCTTCCCAGGGACTCATTGTGGAATGGCTTGGTGGACTTTGCTCCTGATGCACAGAGCATGGGTAGGAGTCGGGGCTGGCTTTCATAGTGAGTTGTTTCTGGCTCCCATATCTTTCCTGGATGGCCTGCCTCTTCCCTTCAATTAATCCTTCCTTGTGCTCTTCCTCCCACAGGTTCATAAATTCTACCGGGGCAGTGGGGGGAGTTTCAGCAAAGCTCAGGAGGAGTGGACCACGGGTGCATGGAAGAACCCACATGTGCAGCAAGCAGCCCAGAATGCAGCCATGGGGGCAGCCCAGGGTGCCATGAATCAGCCACAGACTCAATATTCTGCCACCCCCAACTACGCATACTCCAATGAGATGTGAGCCAGCTGAGCCTACTGGAAGTCAGGGCTGGGGGCTGATGGGATGGGGGCTCAAGCCACATCATCTGCTGTGGTGACCAAGCAGGGTTCTCCCTTCCCTTTTCTCCCCTCCCTTTCCTTCTTTCATCTTTGTACAAATAATCATATATATATATATATATATATATATATATATATATATATAAATAAAATCTACCCTACCCCTTAGGATTTTGCCCTGAGCATTCTGAGAGCTATGGGATGCACATGGAGCTGTCCCATGTGGTGGTAGTTGTGTCCATGCCCCTGTGAAGTAGTATGCAGTGGAGATGTCTGTTGTCGTGGTGTTAGATATATGTTTAGAACTAAACTAGCCCTCACAATCCCTCTGACTTTGGTCCAAGGACTCCTTATGGGGCAGGAGGCATAGCAGAGAAAGCCTGGCCCCCTCTCCAGGGTTATGAGTTAAAACTGTTAACGTTTTTGGTCTTACTGGGAGGCAACGCTATTTAGCACTCGTGGTGGTGGTGGTGGGTGGTAGGGTGGGACAGGCCAGGGATCATCATTTGCTCCTTCTGATTTGGGTCTCTTCCCCCTCAATCTCCTCCCCTCCTATCTTTTTGCTGTCACATTCCCTGTGGTCTCTTCTCTGGCCCAGGGTTTCTCTCTTTCCCATGTGAGTTTTCTTTGTCTTCCCCAAGGCTGAATGTCCCAGTTGTCTCTGCTCCTGAGAGTGAGCCCATTTCCAGATCAAGGAAGCAGACAGGAGAGTGGAGACTTAGCCATGATGTGGGAGGGCACACAGGTGCAGAGCCCCTCTGGGCACCTGACTCCCAGGGAATGGCAATGCTGGATCATCTCCCTGACTCCCAGATCTTGGCCTCTAGAGGCAGGCTCTTTTTACTGTCCTGCTTCCCTTTCTTCTCTTCCCAGAAACCCCTCGAGCCACTCTGCCTATGTCCCTCCCCAAATCCCTAGCTGCTGTGGCCTGATGCTACCACCCTGTCCTGCTCTCCCTGAAGAGCTGCGTGGTGTCCAGACAAAGGTGTAGCTAAAGCGGAGGGTATGTAAATCATTATTGGTTCCTGGGTGAGGTCTGGCTAGTTCAGGCCTGCTGGGAGGTACTAGGTATCTCTGAGTGATTGACCATTGGATTTCTGGCAGCGGTAGCTGTTCTGTGTGGTCTGGTAGAAGGGGTAGGCTCAGAGGGCTGGCCTGGAGGGAAGATCAGAGGAGAGGGCAGGCATGGCCCATTGAGAGGGGTGCATGACTCCCCTTTTCCAGCTTGCTCTTGGTCACAGGGCAGTTCTGGGCACTTGAATTTAGGGCTCAGAAATGAAGCACAGGGCCAATCTTATCTGCATGTGCAACGGTTGGAATGGGATTTCAGGTTAGTAATGGTGGGAAGGGAGGCTCTCTGGCATGTTTTTTGTTTTTTTAAGTCAAATTAACCAGCTCCCTTATGCCTACTGGCCTTGGTTCCTGGCCCTTCTTCACACTTTGCCAGAACCCCTTTCTCTTCCAGGATAGTGATTTCAGGGCTATAGGGCTATTCTGTTCCAAGCATTATGAGAATGTTGCTGTCAAAGACCCTGACTCTCTGAGCCCTGGAGGGGAGTGGACTCTCACTCAAAGAGTAGCTGCTCATTTCCCACTCTCCCTTCTTCTACCTGATTATTTGGCCTGAAAAACCAAACCCTGCTTGGCCACTGTGGGCTGGTTCCAGCTTGGAACCTGTCACCTGTGCTTCCAGTTATGATCCTGAGCTTTGAGCTCTAAGTACTTCATTTTCCTATAAGGTAGCCAGGGCCACTAGAAAGTTATCTTCCTACTGGTCCCTTAGGCTTGGGCTAAAGTATGATTGGCTCTCATCTCTACTACTTTCTCTCTGGAAAGCATTTTTCACAGCCCCTAGTACACTAGGTCTAGGTTCTTCCTTCCCTGTACTCTCCCCCAGCCCGGCCTCTGGTTCCCTTTCTCTTAGTCTCTTTGGTAGCTCCAGGAGGCCTGTGGTCCAGCTTCCAGCCCAGGATCCATGACCTGCTGGTTACTACCTCCAGTCGATTTCCTTCCCTCCCTGCCTTTCCTTTGTCCTGGCTTAGACCTATATGGCTGTGCCCTGACTCTGCTCTTGGCTAGGCCTGCTACTTGTGTGTGGCAGAGCTTGTACAGGCCCTGGGATGCTGCATCTCCAGGCCACTATGCACTTTTATGATGAAGAAACTAGAGTGAGAAGTTGGGGCTGGGCACAGATTCATCTCTGTGGGATGGTCTGGGGGGTAGAATGGAGGAAAGTCCAGGTCAGTTCTGGGAATCCTCAGGTCTGCAGTCAGCCAGTGACCTGCTTTTGTATTCTGCTGGTGCCCACTGCTCTTCCTTATTTCTGGGAGACACAGACCATTCTCCATCTGGCAGTTGACCTGCTTGGGTCAATGTGTGTGGTAACTTAGTGAACCATAATAAAGGGGAACATTTGGCCCTGTGCATTCTGCTGTGTCACTTGTCTTCACCTGGGCCTGTGTGGAACCTCACTGTGGGCTGTGAGGTGTGGAGGTAGGGTGGGTCAGTAGCTTGTCATTCCCAGGGTCCAGAAGTCACCTCTGTGTTTTTTTTTTTTCCTGAGGCAGCCTTGAGTAGGCCTTGAAATAGCCACAGAGGCCTCTGAGTTCCACAGGAGGAAGTAGAAGGCTGGATTAGTGGGTGAAGGGTGGTTTGGTCCAGATGGTCCCTGTAGGCAAAGGAAGAGCACAGAGGGCCTCACTCAGCTCTCATGATGGAGACTGGCAGCTGATTGAGCAGCCTCAAGAAATACAAGGGGTTCCAGGACACAGTGCACCCACCTGCTTTCTCCAGATACCTTCTTGTTGCCCTTTGCTGTGCTCTCCATTTGGACTGCTGTTTTGGCACTCTTAGCTCCTGCTGATCCTTCCTGATTCACCCTGAGTGACTCCTCTGAGAGGGCTTCCCTGCCTCTAGGTGTTTATGCCCCTTTGCTTCTTCACGGAGGACTTTATTCTGTAATTTTCCGTGTCCCTGCTTGTCTCAAGAGCAGGGATGCCTCAGATTTATCTCTGTGACCCTTGTGACTTAAAATAGAAGCGGCTTGCTAAGTGTTGAGTATTAAATACCCCAAATATGCCCTGGCCAGTTTGCTCAGTGGTTAGAGCATCCGCCTGTGGACCGAAGGGTTGAAGGTTCGATTCCCAGTCAAGGGCACATACCTGGGTTCAGGTTTGATCCTGGCTCAGGACAGGGTCTTGTGCAGCAACCAGTCAATGTGTCTCTCTCCTTTCCTCTCTTCCACTCTATCTAAAAATCAATGGAAAATTATCCTTGGGTAAGGATTAACCAAAAATAAATAAATAAATAAATAAATACCCCAACTATGAGCAGTGTTTATGTGTGGGATGGGGTGTGGAGTGAGGAGGCTAGACAATTAGGTGAAAGCCGGTGAGAACACCAGAAAAAAACAAGAACCTGAACCAGGGCTCCTGGCAGAATTCCCTTGCGTATACTACAACTACCGCAAGGTGGAGAAATGGACTACAAGTACCACAAACCGGAGAAATGGACTACAACTCCCAGAAGTCTGTGCAATCACATAGGCTGCCAGACGCTCTCGTGAGATTGCCTGCCAATCAGAATCAGCGCAAAACGTGGCCGAGCTATTGCGATATTTGCAGGCTGCCCTGAGACGCCCCAGGCAAGGGTGAGGAGTCCGAGGGGGTTCAGAGCCTGTGGTGGGGGTTGGAAAAGCTTCCCTTGCGACTGTGGGTCTGCGGCTGTACATGTGATCTTACTTTCTCGCGCGCGTGAGCGTGTATGTGTGTGTGTGTGTGTGTGTGAGAGAGAGAGAGACAGACAGACAGACAGACTCCTCATTTTCCTCTTTGATGCACAGCTCACTCTGTGGGTCGGCAACTGTATGTAGGGGCTGTGGAACCCGTGGGGACCTCACTTTCCTAACTGCCTATAGGGCCGGAACATCCCTCCCCAGCACCAAAAAGGAATAGAGACTGCTGAAAGTACAAACTACTATCTTTTGGTGAAATAGAAAAAGCAGAGTCCTGGGATGTTTCAGTTATCCCATAATCCCCCTAAAAGTACTGACTGGCATTTCAACATTAGAGTGAGGCCAGATTCTCTGTCTGGACCATAGGCCGACACTAACTGGTGAGCCAAACTGGCCAGGGCAAGGCCAAATTCTGTCAGAGAAAAACTTTGTGCTATGTTTTGAAGTATTGGAGGCCTGAGCCAGATAATATGCAGGAGAGATGCCCAAGTTGGAGAAGTGGTAGTGTCTTGGAAGCAAGGGTTTTCCACATTTCTTCCCGAGGCTAAGAGGTGGCCGTACTCAAGTCTCTTGCTAGTAGCCCAATATGTGAGTGAATATTATCTATCTATCTATCAATTATCTATCTAATTATCTATCAGTTATCTATCTATCTATCTAATTATCTGTCTATTAGAGGGTGGGCTAATGGGATTATAGACACAGCAGAGTCACGTATACTGGCCTCTTGTTTGTGAGAAGAGCAGTCTTAGAATGCCAAGGTCTTGAGCACTCTTTGAAGAGTTCCTTCCCTTTCCTTGAGGAAAGGGGTTTAAAGTACCCCTGTGGCTATGGGACTCCTTTTAATGACTTTGGGTTTGGGGGCAGGGTGACACTTTGGGGAGGGACAAGTGGTTTAGTAGAGTCTGTTGACTGGTGGTGGGAGATGAGGCCAGAACAGAAACCAGAAGCCAGTAGTGAGGGGCTTGGGCATTAGGCTAAAGGCTCCAAGCTCTTAATGTATGCTATATCACTGCCCATCCACCCCTGAGTTTCATTCTGCTTTTGTCCTAGGCCCCAGCCCCTCATCATTCCTGCATTGGGCTGGGCTCATACCCTGTCTGCCTTTTCTTAGACCTGGTTCTGCTCTGGCTCCACACCTGTCCTTATTGTGACTGGCAGGTATCCCTGAAACCTTTACTTAACTTTGCCAAATTAAACTCATCAGAGGAGATTTACACACCATGAGCCTGCCATACACCGAGACTCTGTACTCTGTCTGGCCCTGCCTTTCTGAAGGACAGAGAAGCTGTCAGTTTTCTGGCTCTGGCTTACTCTCATGGCTTGTGCCCTGGGAGCTTGAGGCTCAGTAATCACAGCCTTTAGCCCTATAACCTCTCTACCTGCCAACTCAATCTGCTGCTCAAGAGTTTCTTGAGTACAGCAGAGCCCAGGGAAATGAGGTGCTGTCTACAGCTACCTTGGCTGTGCAAATAGATGGTTCTAACAGGAACTGGATAGAGTAATAGGCTTACTAGTTTGTGCTTTGGTCTTTTGTGAGCATAAAGAACTCCTGCCAGTTGTCACCCTTCATGGGATTGTCAGATTGATTTGACCTTGCTTTCAAATAAATATTGGTTAAATTATCCACTTTGTATTCCTCAAATACACCCCCCCCCCTCTTTTTCTAGAAAGGTAGGTAGGTTTTGGAGGCTAAGTAGTAAATCTTGGGCTATGCCACCTACTGTGGGGCATAGTTGAAGTCACCAATGTGAATTCCTGCCCCAAGTTTAACTGATATCACAGCTTGATGTGGTGGAGGTTCAGGGACCACAGGTTAGATTCACCTTCTGGCTTTGCAGGATTCTCTCTGTCCTAGCACCAGTTGACTGGGGTGAGACAGGATCAAGGTTTGAAATCTGGTAGGTTTCCCTGGAGAGTCAGGAATGTACCTCCATCATCTACTATGGGTGCTGATCAGCCTGCAGATTAGTTCTGGGAAAAAGCTGGATGATAGGCCCTCTAGACCTTGCCAGTTGCTAACAGGGCTCCCCAGGCCCTGGAGTAGATGCAGTTTTGCTCTGGGCAAGCAGGGCCTTGACTGGGCATGCAGGATTGAGATCATAGGCAAATGACACTTCAGGGGAGTCTTGCTGAAGGGAGCTGGCTTGTGTTTAACCCCTGCTTTCAAGAGAAGGGTTTGGGCCTTTGGGAGACCCTTTCAGTTAGGAGTGGGATAATGGATCCAAACATGATCCTCAGCTCATGTGGGTATGTGCCAGATTCTTGAAAACAAATACTGGGCAAGAGGCCCTAGTGAGCCAAGGGGCATGTGGAGTGGAGGCCCCTATGGGTCTGCAGTCGTGTGATGGCCATTGGGCAACTCACAGGCACTTCCTCCTAGAGTCTATCTTAGTATCCCCTCCCATGCTGATTTTGCCCATTTTAGGGACCCTATAGTATAGAGAGCCATTACCACTGTCTTGCCTGCATTGACTCAGAAGGTTTCTGTTGGAAGACGCTTCAGATAAAGAGACAGGTCCAGGGAGGGATGTACTGGGTCCAGGGCTCCTGATTCACAGGCCAAGTTTCTGTCCTTTGCCTCACCCTGCTTCCGAGGATACAGTTTATTATTTATTCAGCAGATGTTTAGGACCCACCAGGTGCTTGGTGATTAGACCTGGGCACACATTCAGGGAACTTGCTGGTGGCAGTGGTGGTGGTGGTGGTAGGGACGTGGAGAGGGAGAGGCAAGGAAGCTGATGAACAAATTGAATCAATGATTATCAAAAAGGTGCATCCCAGGGAAGAAGGACCCATCTTAAATGATGTCAGATGTGACTCCTCTCTTCTCAATTAATCTACAGATTCCCTGAAGACAGAATCTGTCTTCCCCTGTTCCTTTGCACAGTGCTCAATGTAATTGGTCCTTAGTGATTGTTGCTGATGGAGTATGTCTTACTGATTGTAGGTTTTGGTGTGTCCATCAGCCATGTTATCATGGGCACTCACTTCTAGCAACATCTGAGGGCCAGAGGAATAAACCAATCAGCTGGTCTCATAGGGTGACCTACATCTCCTTAATGAATGAATTAATTAATTAATTTTTCTTAATTGATTTTAGAGAGGGAGAGAGAGACAGAAACACTGATGAGGGAGCACATCGACCGGCCGCCTCCTGCATGCCCCACACTGGGTCCGGGCCCACAACCCGGGCATGTGTCCTGACTGGGAATCGAACCGGTGACCTCTTGGTGCATGGGTTGATGCTCAACCACTGAGCCACACCGGCCAGGCCCAACATCCCCTTTATGCTTCTCTCTTTTTGGGCTTGGATTTATAGAGTGGTGCCCAGTCTGATCTACAGGGACAGGGACAGGGAGACACATCTTTTAACTCTCTGAAGCACCCAAACCCCCTTGTTGCCAAGGTTCCATCTCACAGGCATCCTGTCACTCCCTTCAGTCAGTCAGCCTGGTCTCCTATAGTAGTTCCTTATCCTGCCCCTCCAATCTCACCACCACCAAGGCCCACTGTCACCAGCACCAACACCATCTGTCTAAAATGGAAACTCACCCTTTCCCTCACCACCCTTGACACTGCCCTTGATCCGACTTTGCAGCCTAACCTCCCTGCCCCTATATTACACTTTAGCTTCAGTACTAAGCTACTCCCTGTTCACCAAGCCTGCCAACCTCCTTTAGGCCTCTTCAGCTTTTGTAAGATTCGTCCACTTGCAAAGTGATTTCCTTCTCTTTCTGGAAAACTTACTCAAATTAGGACTCAAATTGAATCTTAAGTTTTTGGTCTCTGACTTCTTCAGACAGTTACTCCTAGGCAGCCACAGCCCCTGGTATTGACCTTCCTCACAGTGCTGGCCACATTACATTGTAACTGACCTATGTGTGTTGAAGGTGTCTGGTCTTTTTATCAAACTGTGTGCTCCCAGAAGCTGGGACTGCTGAACACCAGCAGCTGGCCCAGGGTCTAACAGGGTGCTCAATACTTTTTGATTGAATGTATGAATGAAATGGGCACCCCTTGTTCTGTTTTTAGATCCTAAATCCTGACAGAGCTTTGTGGAGCCCAGTTCTGGCAGGTTCCCAGGACTCGAAGCCACCAGAACCTACATGGAACCAAGGGCCTCATGTCCAGCTGCTGCACCCTTGGTAGAGAGACAGTTCCATGTTCTTGTGGGTGTCACTGGGAGTGTTGCAGCCCTGAAGTTACCTCTTCTGGTGTCAAGGCTTTTAGACATTCCTGGTGTGAGTATCCTTACTAGTTAAGCATGGCAACCTTTGGCATTAGAGAATTGCTATTCCTGTGGCCAGCCCATTTTTGTGTAGTGCACAGGGTTTTCTTTTTCTTAATTGTGGTGTTTGTAGGAGTCTATGTGCATTGGTATGAGGGGAATGCAGGAGACAGAGACCAGTGTGGCTTTGTTTTGGCCAGTCCCTGCCAGGCTGCACTGTCTTTGCTGCCTTTCCAAACTGCACAAAAAATTCATGTAGAAGCGTTCCTAGCCTGCCTCAACCCATGTGGTTTTGCTCCCTTCCTTTTAAAACTAATTTGATATATTCAAGTAGTAAAAACATTTTAGTCAGAAAAGCTATTGCAATAAGGGAAGAGAGGCTTCAGTATAGAACTGGGCTTAATTTTGAATACCACAAGGAAAAGTGAGGATTTATATCCAAGGAGCAGAGTAGGGGTCAGTGAATGGAAAAATTGCTAAGAGGAAACATCAGCAGTAAATGGGGATTCTGACTAAACTGTCACAACAGGATTCTTTGTTAAATTTTATTTTAGAGAAAGGAAGGGAGAGGGAGAGGGAGAGAGAGAGAAACATCAATGAGAGAGAACATTGATTGCTGCCTCCTTGCATGTCCCCCACTGGGGATTTGGCCCTTGACCCGGACTTGTGCCCATACTGGGAATTGAACTGGCGACCTCTTGGTGCATGGGTTGATGCTCAGTGAGCCACACTGGCTGGGCTCCACAGGATTCTTGCTGAAGGCAGGTAGGATGATCACATGTCATCTGAGAGATGTTGGGGAATGAAAAGCCTGATGAGATATTTAGTCTGGTCAGATATCGAGAGAGGGGGCTTCTGGATAAACCAGCTTAGTAGGGTTGTTGCTCTTGAAGACAAAGCTCAAAGATAGGCTTCTCATCGCCCCCTCACCTCCCCAAGCCTCACTAGAGTTTGGTCAAGGAGAAAATCTTTTTTTTAAATGTTTTTTTTTTATTGATTTTTTTTTTATAGAGAGAGGAAGGGAGAGGGTGAGAGTGAGAGAAACATCGATGTGAGAGAGAAACATCAATTGGCTGCCTCCTGCACGCCCCCTACTGGGAATTGAACCCACAACCAAGGCATGTGTCCTGACCAGGAATCGAACCAGTGACCTCTTGGTGCATGGGACGATGCTCAATCCACTGAGCCACACCAGCCAAAGGGGAGAATCTTGATCGAGATGCAGAACCATCAGCTGCCTTTGACACTGCTCATGTTGTTGGACACTAGTTTTGTGGGATGGTGTTAAGCTGCTGCGGCTGTGTTGGTGCTTTTCTTTGTTATCTGCACAGTTCCTGACACAGGGTGGCGCAGGTGGATGTACCTGGTGTGTCCAGCAGGGGGTATTGCTCACCTACAGATGACCATGTTGAGATTCCAGGCAGGGGCAGGGAAATCTTTCCCTTTTTTTAAAAAATTTTATACAAACTTCTACCTAGAAAGCCAGCCCCTCACCTCACTCCCCATACAGGGACAAGCAGTAAAGCAGGCAGTCAGGGATGCCATTTAGGCCAGAGGAGAATCTTGTGGCTGCTCTGTGGTTGGATACTGGTGCTGTTGGGGCAAGGCCACCTGGGGCCTGTCACCTTCATGTGCCCAAGAATTGTTGGTAGGAACTGGCCAGCTAGAGCCCTGAGGGTGGGAAACGTGAAGGGGTTGCAGCAGCAACAGCCTCTGCCACTACCCCCTGGGGAGGGAGGGAGCCATGCAGTTCTCTTTTCCCATAGCTCCAGTGCAAGTCAATTTCCGGACTGGGTTGGGGCAGGGAGTCCTATCCCAGGAAACAGATGGGCAGCTTCAGAGCTAAGGGAAATGGCAGCTCCATGCTTCCTGCCATCCCATGCAGCCAGCATGTGAGGAAAGGGTTGCTTGGAGCAGGGAGGCTCTCCAGCCCACTCCAGGTTTTTAGCCTGGTCTGCTAAGGGATAGGCCATGTTTGGAACAGGGCTTGGTTCTCCCTCTCTGGCTGAAGTTGAAGCCAAAAGTTAGGTAGCCAGAAAGGCACTGACCTGGGAGGTAGGATGTCCTGACTTACCCTCTTGGAGCCTGCTTTATTTTGGTTTAATATTAGGATGACTACTCTCACCCATCCACTTGGGTTCTTGTCAAGGCTGAGGAAGGGGGACACAGATGAAACAGTTTGCCATCCAATGCCAACAACTAGGCACAGCTCCTAGCATACAGAAGCACTTAGCAGTGTTTGTTTCCTGTCCTTTACTATCTTTCCCCTAGCTGTTATGTCTTTTGGGCCAGCCATGTGGTATGGGGTGTTGGGGTTGGCAAGACAGCCCATGTGGGAAGAGTCATGGGAGCCCCAGTCCACCTGCTCAAGTGGAGGACCTGTGTTACCTTTGGCCCTCTCATTCTGCAGGTATACTGCTCCCCAGGGAGCCTGGGTTGGCTTTGTGTGGCCCTTGTGAAGTGTTGGTAACCAAGGGGGATCCCTGGCTTGCCTTGTCTTGGCCCTGAGGTAGCACTTCTCCACATTCTCTGATGGCACTGATCTTTCTATTTCTGCATCATCCCCCAGGAGCAGTCTTTGTTCCTTCAAGTAGTCATTCTCAGCTCTTTGCCTAAGTCATGGGTTCACATGCCAAGGCTCCCTTAGGTATACTTAGATTTTGACTAGCACCCAAGAAGCTGTGGTGTGGGCTGCAGGGAATTGAGGGATTCTGCAGACATGGCTCATAACTACTCCTGATACACGTGTGTCCAGGCATCCCAGGAGCTAGGGAGATTGTGGGGGGGTGTCGAGGAGGGGTGGATTTGGCCTCAAGATTCACATACCAGCTGTCAGGGAAGAGTGGCCACCAGCAAAGAAGCCTGGAAGCCTTTATGTGAGGTGGGGGGAATTGGACAGTAGAGGCCAGCCCAACCTCAAGAGAGGCAACTGAACCTAGAAGATTTCTCACTCTGGGACCCTGGGCAAGTCATTTCTTATTTGTAGCCTCAGTTTTCCTGTTCATGCACTCGAGAGAAGGTACTCAAATGACCCATCTCCAGGACCTCTCTCGTGCTAGTGAGAGAGGATTCTAGATGTGAGAGCACAAAGGACTAGGACCCAGAGGCATCTTGAGAGAAGGTGCTGGAGGGAAGGAACTTCAGGGTGTTTTGCTGGTCCATAATTGTCATTTAATTGAGTGGCAGTTAGTTTGAGCTGACAGCTCAGTTTTTTCCCTTTGGTTGTCATCCTTCTCGCTTGGGAGGAGAAGACAGACACCTCTAGCTTTGCCAGGGCAGGTATCAGCAGGGTGAGAACCAGAAGGGGATTTCTGAAGGTAGAGAAAATCTCCCACTCAGGGAGCTGGCTGGCTCTGGGCTTAGAGAAGGATAACTTTCAAGAATGCCCATTAGGACATTAAGAACCGTCAAGGGGCCCTGGCCAGTTTGGCTCAGCGGTTGGAGCGTCGGCCTGCGGTCCGGAGAGACCCGGGTTCGGTTCCCGCTAAGGGCACGTACCTTGGTTGCAGTTTGTCCCCGGCCCTGGATGGGTCGTACAGGTGGCAACCACTCGATGTGTCCCTTTCATGTCGATGTTTCTCTCACTCTCTCTCTCTCTTCCTCTCCCTCCCACTCTATCTGAACAAAAAATGGAAAAATGTCCTCGGGTGTGGATGAAAAAAAAAAAAAGAACCGTCAAGGGTGAGGGAAAGAGGGCTTCGCTCATGTAGTATGAAGTACATTCTGTTTTTCTGGAGGACTCTTTGGCAATATCTAGAGAAATCACAAATGTTGACAGCCCTTGATTCACACTTAGGACTGACTCATGTGGGGGGTATTTATTAACATCCATATGTATAAGGATACTGAGAGGGAGGGAGGGAGAGAGAGAGAGAGAGAGAAAGAGGAAGAGAGGAAAACACTGATGTAAGAGAGACACATTGATTAGTTGCCTCGCGCATGACCTGGACCAGGGCCGGGGAGGAACTGCAACAGAGGTATGTGCCCTTGACCAGAATCAAACCCACAACTTTTTGGTCCATGGGCCAACACTCTAACTACTGAGCCAAACTGGCTTAGGGCTATAGCATTATTTATAATTTCAAAACAAAAACAAAAGAGGAAACAAAAAAATGTCCAGCAGTAGAGAGGTGTGGTGCAATTATTGCCCAGCCTCTCAATGGACTTCTTGGTGATGGTTCAGAAGAATGAGTAGATGGATCTCTGTGTGCTGATGTGGGACAATCCTTAAGATATACGTGGATGAACAAGGTACAGGACTTAGCAAACTGTGCTCAACAGGCTGAATCTGGTTTTGTGGCCCGTTTTTGTATGGCCTGTGAGCCAAGAATGGTTTTTTCATTTTTATTAAAAATTTTTTTCTCTATTTATTTTATTTTACTTTAAAAAAAAAATTCTCACCCAAGGACATTTTTCCATTTATTTTCAGACAGAGTGGAAGGGAGTGAGAGAGAGATAGATAAACATCGATGTGAAAGAGATACATTGATTCGTTGCCTCTCGCACAATTCTGACCAGGGCCGAGGACCGAACTGCAACTGAGGTACATGCCCTTGACCGAAATAGAACCTGGGACTTTTTGGTCTGCGGGCCGACGCTCTAACTGCTGAGTCAACTGGCCAGGGCTCTTTATTGATTTTAGAGAGAGAGGAAGGGAGAGGAAGAGAGAGATAGAAACATCGATGAGAGAGAATATTGATTGGCCACCTCTTGCATGCCCCCCACTGGGAATTTGGCCCCAAAATGGGACATGTGCTTTGACTGGGAATCGAACCGGTGACCTCTTAGTGCATGGGTCAACGCTCAACCACTGAGCCACACTGGCTGGGCAGTTTTTGCATTTTCATATGGTTAGAAAAATCAAAAGTTTATTTTGTGCCACATAAAAGTATGTGAAGTTCAGATTTTAGGGTCCTTAATGTTTTATTGAAATAGCCACATTCACTCATTTATGTGTTGTTGATGAGTGCAGTATTGCTGCTGCAGAGTTGAGTAGTTGTGACAAAGTCTAAA